GAGGCTATAAACAGCCCTTATGAAAAGATACATTTTTTGTCAATTAATTGGCCTGGAAATTTTTGTCATTTCGATCTGTCACTGTTGAATTTCATTGTACTGCAATATTTTGAAATTATTCAAAAAAGTGTCTAGTTAATCCTGTTGGCAAGCTCTCTGTCACTTAATACCTTCTTGAAGTCCTAAATGTCTTAGTTTTTCTTCTTAATTAACACTCTTAATTGACATTCTGTGCTCCCTAATTTCTCCAAGTAAAGAACTGAAATAGAGGCTCTAAATTATTTTCTGGAATCAGATGGACATGCAATTACTTGTCTACAGTTTGTCTCCACCTTTACAAACTTTTTTTAAAATTTGTAATTTTTTACTACTGAAGTGTCCACTGGAGCCATACAGTCCATTGAACCATAAAACTAGAATTGATTGCGCACATAAAAAATCCTGGGACAACTGAATAAGGAAAACAGCTTCCTGGAATTTTATGGTAAAATCCGAAGTCAAGTGACAACAAAACATTTACCCGATTTGAACTCACCCGCCCTTGATCGTTAGAGAAAATTTGATGCACCTCCATTTTCCCCTGATGAGAGAAAGAGTAAATTTTTCCTTTGTTTAGCCTGCACCAGAGCATGGTTATAGATGTCAGAGAAGATGAATTTTGATCTTCAAAACCATTGGAGGGGGCATTCTCTATTCCATCTTCTTGTATCAATTTCACATGGTTTTCATAGAATATTGGAAACCTAAGGCAAAAGAACCCTGTCTAATAGGTTTTATTTTGAAATAATCAGAATGAATATAAAGTTTTCTGTATCACACATTACAATTTTAGTAATCGTAGACATGTTTTGTACCATTTTCTTCTAAAAAATGGGAGGGAAGTCTCCTTTTTAAGGTGGTGTGAGGAATTATAGTCAGTTTTTTCTACTGAAATTTATGGAAAGAACCACTAAAATGCAAATTCAATGTTTTGAGACTTGAAATTTGCAAATAACTTTTAATCTTGGAGCTTACTTTTATATTCTGAGATGAAATAATGACATTTTAAGCATGTAAGTTTTCACTTCTTAGTGAAGTGAAGAAGCTTGCAAGATAGGCAAGCATATACTTGTTTCAAGAATCTTAATTAAATTGATTCCGTTGGTCTGTCCATATGTTTAATGTTAAGTATATGCCTGTGTACTTTTCTGAAATGCTGAATTGTACTTAGCAGAATGAATCATATGCCAGTAACTCACATTTCTCTAAGAACCTTTATAATGGCGGAAGTAGTGCACAAAATAAGCTTTCATTTTCACGATGAACAAACCAAGTAACTTCTGGTGAGCCTTGCCTTTTTATTGCTGCAGCCAGCTGTAAATCATGTCTTGAAAGCAAAGGCATCTTCTTTTAAATGTGTTTTTTGAAAAACAGTACATTGTTTTCTCTTGAGCTGTTGAGACAATTTCCTGACTAGATCTGGTGCCCCATTAATTTTAGAGTATAAGAAAAAGTCACTCTGAGCCATAGGGAACAATTTGGGATTTGCTGCATATGCATATATCACAATAGATTGGCCTACAGTATTTCCACAGAGCGTGCTTAAACTCACATTTTCCCCAATTTTAGGATTAATGTTCTCCTTCCCTCCTATCTGTGCAGAAGCATAGGCTTACGCTACACATAAATGGTGGATTCTTTTACTTTCAGTGTGTACAATTTGAAATTTGAATGCAGTTCCTGTAACAAGAGGCGTTCTTTCAAATGAATCTCAAAAAGCCCTAGCCAAAAACATGTAAAACTCTCCTATAGAGAAAGAAATTGAGTGCAGTGTTAGCATAATAGCAAGAGTGGAGACATTGCTTTGCACTATAGTTTTATGGGATGATATTTTAAAAGGTATTCAGAGATTTATGACTTTTTAGGGACAGCTAAAATTGTTTTCATACTTCTAATATTGCTTTCATTAGAAGTGCAAAAGTATGTTTACAATATCAGATTGAATTCTAAGGTGTTACCAAATCATCCAGAATCCCCACTGTTTAACTGTATTCTTTCATATTCCTATATATCTTCAGAAGAAAAAATGAGAGGAATGTAAGTGCTTTGTTTTAAAGCACATAATCTGTATTCTGTCATGTACTTCATCTCCCAGGGAAGGTATATGGGAACTCACTCTGCTGTTTTTATTTATCCTGCCAGTGTAGTATATAGATGAGAGGACTAAGGTTCAATGGTGTTAAAACAAGACATGAAATATTGATTAATTCTTTTTTAAAAATCCTTTTTACTCCTGAGTATAGCAAATTTCAGATGCTACTGTCAATATAGTGCTCTCCAATAAACCTCCGCTATCGGAAGGGTCCTGATCTTCATAGTGTTCTTATAAATGGTTATTATGATTTTAAATGGTTAGCTTTAAAAGCTCAAGGCTAGCATCCTTCTGGTGCAAGAGCAGAAAGCAGGTTAGAAGCAATTCAGCTTTTTAACATGGCAGAATGTTACTCTGAAATAGTGTGAATTGGATTGGGAATTCTCTTTGCTGGATAGCAGGCGAAACACTCTGTCTGAAGAAATGGAGCTCCTAAAGGGACAGATAAAGAGATGTACAGTTTCATGGCCGTAAAGGTATCGGTTAAAGAAGGACAATTGTAGCTGGCGTCCAATTTGCGTTTTGTTCCAGCATGTCATTCCTCAGCACTAAGTTAAAAGTTAGTGCTTCATTTCTAGCTTGCAGAATGATCCTTTAATCTGCAAAGGCAGCTCAACAGGTACTTAGGGTTTCCCCAGGGAAAAGACTTTCCAGGAAAGGCGTGTATAGAAGTCCACATCATCTAACCCCTGAGGGATGCTAGACATCTCATCAAGGAAGAGAAGATGTAACTCAAATTCTTTTGGATGTTCTTTAGTATAGAAAAACTCTCTGGGAGTTGAAGTAGTTGTGACAAACCAGGTTTTCAGTAAAAGAAAAAAAATTGTTTGAACTAAAATTTACTGGAATTTCTTTAGGAACGTACATTCTATTTTTATATCCAGCTTCTTTAGGAATGTACATTCTATTTTTATATCCAGGTTGAAATTTGGGGGTGAGGTAGAAGAGAAGAAATACCACAGAAAAAGCAGTCATCTGGCAGAGAGGGCCTACCTGGGCTGTCAGAGACCAGAGTTCAGGTTCCTCCTCTGCCTAATTCAGTCCTGATATTAAGTATTCTGAAGTGGATGCTTCACAGATTCCTCTTGAAGCTTTCCTCCGTTTCGTAATACTAAGTATTTACCGGAGCAGGAATTTGAACTTCAGCCTTGTATGTGTCAAGTAAATACCACTATCGAGGCTGTACATTTTTTGCACATCTTCTTAATTAATATTTAGTCAAACTTAACAGGAAAGAGCAAGGAAGTAATGCAGAGTCTGAGCTACAAACTAAAGTTAGCAGAATTACCTGGAAGGCAGGAGACTATGGTACATCACGGAATCGCAGAATCACAGAATGGTTGAGGTTGGAAGGGGTCTCTGGAGATCATCTAGTCCAACCCCCCTGCTCCTGCAGGGTCCCCGAAAGCACGTTGCCCAGGATTGTGCCTGGACGCTTTTTGAATATCTCCAGGGAGGAGACTCCTTGCTCTCAATCAGGAAGAAGCATCTGAAATAGATTCCTCTGTCTCACGGGAAAGAAAGTTGGGTACTGGAGGCTGGATGAGTTGCTATCTGAATTTGTTTTCACATGAAAGCTTTATTCCTACCCCAGGATGAAAATATTTGCAAAAGATTTTGTTTATGGGGAAAACAGATACCCATACAGGCCTACCTGGGAGTTTTTTCGCAGCAAAACTTAATTGAGTGCAAACCTTAATCTGCTTTAACTTATGATGGAGAACAGACTGCTCCCTGCTGTATTCAAAAGCTAAGAGCTAAACGATAATGGCATAAAGCTAAACTATCCCCTCCTCTCACACGCACCCAGCTCTCTCAAACCGAGCCAAAGTCAAGGCTGTATTTAGCTGGTTTCATGACTTTTGTGATATCTTTCTTTGGAACTTGGACATATTATTAATAATTTTTAGCAAATAATTTTCGTTGATTTCAGTAGCACTGAAAATCATACGTATAAGAAGTTCAGCTTCAACCAGTTTTTAAACAGTGAGTGCTAAGTGTGTTCTTGTGATTTATGACTTTTTAAAGCGGTAAGTCTGGCTTGCCCCGATTATATGGATTGTTCTGTTGACTCCCGGTCCCCTCGACAGTAACACTTGTGTGACTAGAGTGAACAGGATTTGATTTGTAATTAACAATGTATATATCTGCTCACATAGCTGCTGTGTGAGCCAAATCCTTACACATATGATTTGTTCTCACTCATGCAGGTAATACTTTTGGACTGATTTAATGGAACTAGTTATTTGAGCAAAGGTTATCAGATTGGGCACTGTCCTCTTGCACTTTTCTCTCTGCTATGTTATCATAAAGAATGATAACACAAACTTATGTTAAGGGAGGTATACAAAGTTTTATTTTTCAAAGCCTTGTATCAGCTTGTCTCCTGCCAAAATGACCTTAAAAGTTTCACTTGCGTGTGAATTTTCAGGCTGAGGGTAGCCCCCTGAAAATTCAGATTTTGGTTGTGAAAGAGGACGGTGAGTACGTACAGGCATACAGCTCATACTCTGCCTGAACTTTAATTTCTGATTAGTTTGATTTCTTGATGACTTTCTGAATTTCTCATTTTACCCACTCTACTAATGTCTATTTTTCAAATGTACGAATAAATTATTTTCTGTTTTAAGGGACACGCATTGTTTGCCTTCAGATATTTAACATGGCATGCTTTCTGTGGGCAATAGCTTGAGGCCCCAAGCTGGCAAGAATGTGAGCCTATCTATAAATAATTCAAAGTAGTTGTATGTTTTTGACAGATTGTCAAGTTGTGTAATGCTTTCTGTCCCAGGTAATAGATTATTTTTCTTTGATAAAGTGTTGGTAATTTCTCATTGCAATTTGTTCTGTGTATGTTATATTTTTACAGAGTCCAGTCAGGTTCATATCTCAGTACGGGTTGGTTTACCTTAATTTTGGCTATGGATGCCTGCTATGGAATTCGCGTCTATGGGATGATAAATGACACCTACTGCAAGTAAGATCACAGGAAATTATTTTCATGCATCTACAATTCTGATGTGTTGTCAAAATTTCACAGTTGATTTTAATATCATAAATCCAAAAAATGGATCAGGCAGCCACATCCCAATGTTTTGCGTTGATGTGACACTGTATTGTCGGCATATTTAGCCCTGATAAGGCATTTGCTGTTGATAAAATAAAAACATTGACAAAATCTAACATGAGATGTCATAAGGAACTATTTTAATCAAAGATCTTTTGCAGTTTCTGCGTTAGCTGGAAACGAAGTATGTTCATACTCTTTTGACAAAATGTACTTAGTTCTACTGCTAAAACAAATCTATAGAGGAAATACTAATATATTAGTTCTCTGAATACCAAGTACACTTGGAAGTGAAAGAAACTGATTAGCTCAGGATAGTTACCTGAAATTACATTTCACCACCACTGAGCAACCTACCTGAACTTTCTAGGTTATATATGGCTTGTTTTGAGTAGTAAGGGGGTTCTAATTAGATAATAAAACAAGACCTGCGAGCTTTATCACAGTAAACTGGCATAAATTCCAACCAACTACTGTTAGTGACCTTACAGTGACAATGGATTAATCCCATTGTCAGAAGTGTAACTCTAAACATAATTTTTAAAAGTCCAAATTAAATGCTTTAATCTACAATATAAAGTAGCAAAATATAAAATGAACATATTCCTCATTCACAAAAGCAGGGAATGTAATAAACAATATACAATAGTCACGCGAGTCTATTTTTCTGTGCCCAGGCTGGTTCAGGCCTTGCATGTAACCACTATGAGGGTTCCTCATCTCCCTGAGTGAAGTCTTACACAGAGCCTCACTCCGTTTTCTGTGTTACACCAGTGTGGCATTCATTCCTAGCGTACCATCAAGAAAGGAGTTTGAGTCAGATTTTTAAGCACAGCTGTTTAATTAGGGTATCTTAACATTAGAGACTGACTTTTTAGAACTTGCAGATCCCTCTGAATGAGTGAATCATCCAGATGGAACGAACATATGTTGTTCTTTGTTTATGAAAACACAGTAGGCACCATGAGATGAGGGGTGACAGGGCTAAAGTTGTCCTCGCAGAGTTCAGCAGAGCTGGCATTGCATAGCCCTGATGTAAAACCAGTTAATGGCGTGATAGCACTTCAGTCTGTTGACAGCAGAGAAGGATGGGTTTCCTTAAAGCTGCATTTCTGACTGCAGTACCTATTTATAATGTATATTATTCCTATAACTGCCCTATTCAGCCAGTCCAGGAACCAATTTCAAGAGTTAGGACTATGCAATGACACGACTCTGCTTAGAGACGGAGCATTATGGACTAAGGGTTGCCCCAGGTTACACAAAATGTGCACTATTCCTAAGAGCCTGCCCCTTAGCTTCTTGCTGACTGATGAGATCAGTGTATGTCAAGAGGCATACTTAGCTTCATTTTCTGTAGTAAAATGCATACAAATCATGCTGTAAGGAAAGCCATTATGCAATTCCGCAGAGGAGCTCAGGTGCCGACACATGAAAAGGATTTCAGTGAAATCAGCTGGAGGATATGTTAATGTTTTTCTTGGAAATAATACTTAAGTGTAACTTTTTTTTTTCCCCCTCTAGGTCAGAAGGCTTTCGAAAAGTTCCCTACCATTATTATGAGCCAGGAAGAGATGAGTGTGAGGAGTACTTTCTGCATGAAAATGCTCCATATGGAGGCCATAGGTTTATCACAGAGAAGAAAGTATTTGCTAAATGGGCCAAGAAGCACACAATAATATTCACGCATCCCAACTGGACAGTATCTTGATGCTGGTTTTCTTAACTCCTCCTTAATAGTGTAATATTACAAAAATGTCTCAGTTTACAGTAATTTTGCTTACATCTGACTGGACTTTCTCAGCCTAGGTAATGCTAAACTAAAATCTAGAAGACAAAGAGGATGATGATTCAGCTGTTAAGCAAAATTAATCAATCTGTGGAAGGCAGACAGTTTGCTTGTTGTTTCTTAGGGTTTTACTCTTCATAATGCACTTTATACTGTAACTGGATATTACTTCAAGACAACAGCAATTAAAGACAGCTGTGATTTCCAGTATATACAGGTGCGCATGCACACACAGAGAACATGGCGGTCCTTTAAAACTTGTCCATTGCCTTAGTTAATTAAAATTAGTACTTGCAGCTCTTTTGCAGTACTGAGTCCTGCAGTACTTCTTAGATTTACAGTATTAGCAGAAATTTTCCACAAAGGAAATATGAGGAAATATACAGACCTCTGAGGTCTACTTGTCTTATCCATGAGTGAGTAAACTTCAAGAACCGTCTAAATACATTGATACATGTGAGCACTTGCATATAGGGTAAAATTACAGATGGGCTGAACATGGTTCCTGAACCGCACACAACTGAAAGATATGAAAAGCTATGCTTTGGTCAAGGCTCCTGGGTAATTCAGAACTTCTAGAATGCAGCTTCCTTCCAGCCCGGTCAGGCTGCACCACCTTGGATGATGTGTTTTGTGCTTTTTGAGGCTGTTGTGCCACAGTGTAGCCGCAGTAGCGTGGCACTTAGCAGCAACTGTGTTTTGCAGCCCAGGCTGAAACTTTGGTTGTTACCACTAACCTGCTACCAGTACCCAAGTTAGTGAGTGTAAAGCTGTCTCATGAACATCTCCATTTACTGCAGACATGCCTTTGAGATGCTTAGAGCTCCAACATCCAAACTCTAAAACCAGCCAGTTTTGACAGTATTTCCCTTGCAGCCATCATAATTTATTTTACCTCTCCAAGTTTCTCTATCTTTAAAAATGGGGATAGTATCTACCTACCTCACAAGGGAGTTGTGAGGATTAATTTAAGTCCGTAAAGCACTTTGCTGATGAAAAATGCTACAGAGCATTTATTCTTAATGCAAAAGCAATGGTACCTGTCATATATTCTTGTCTGTTGGGTATTTGAAGAAAGCGATGGCATGTCTGGATCTGATGGCAGATTGTTCTGTGCATCCTCTTTCCTACTGAGGATAATTTGTAACACAGTTCTCTCAGATTGCATTGCCTCAGATGGAGTTGAAAGAACTCACCACCTCACAGTATTATCTGCACATCAAGAGGCAGTTCAAGAATTTTAAAGTATGCCTGTCTCTAGTTGAAATACATAGTTCCAAGCTTACTCTCATGGAAGGTTTTCAACTGCAGCAGACTTACCTGTAATATGACCATAAATCAACTAAACATGTGAAGTTTATTTAAACTGTATTTAAATTAGTGCTTAAGAGGCTTTAAGTTTAGAATGTGTCTTATGAATATTTTAACACCTGGAATATCAGATTCAACACTGTAGTAGCCAATACTGTGAAAACTTGAAAGAAGTATGTGTGGAACAAGACACACAGGGTTTGCTCACACTACTTAAACATTAACCAACAGGAAACTTTGTATGCTTTTGTAAGTCATGAAGAGGAGAAAGTAAAAAGCTATTTTTACATGTAAGTATTTGTATACTGACTATTGTATATTTGTACATATAAATCTATGTTTTATATCTTCATGGCATATATATTCTCTCATCATCAGCTTCAGCCCTTTAGGTATGGAGAGGAAATCCCTGCACCAGTGTTCCTTCTCCTGCTGGCTAGTTTCTTGTTCCTGTTGGTAGGGATGCCAGGGTATCATGTCTCTCATCTGTTGTAGTTTCTACTGCAAATGCATCTTCCTGTTTTTAATTTTAATATAGCTAAGCTTTCACTGCTTACTGCTTTCACTGCTGTAAGTGTTCATGCTGGTTGTGAAAGGCAGGAGCCACGCCTATGATCCCGGACAAACATCAATATCCAAATACTATATCCATCCCAGGCTTCTCATGTGACTTGAAGCCTCACCTTCCTGTTTGGAAAAAGAGAACAGTAACATTTTCGTACTCCCTGTCTTGACTGACTTTCTTGTAAGCTCTTGAGGCAGATAGATACTCTCATTTGCAATATATGTGCAATACTGCCTTGCAAAAGAGGTACCCAAAGTCACTGAAGGCTACAGGCACTACTATAATATACAAACAGTATTTTTTTAAATGGCTGCTTCTTGTCCCTGGAGTTTAAAACCAATTATAGGCTAATATAGCACAGATGAAATCAAGATGGGGGAAGGGTCATGGATGGATGAAGGGCTGTGGTAGCAAAAGACAGTGAGCTAGATTTATTGCTATATGCATATGCAGTTCAGATGGATGGCTGGATAGATGGAAAGCTAATAAAAGAATTGTAATGCAGGATTTGAAGGATGCTGGGCACACAGAGCTAGGGAGAACATTCCTCACATATTGTACAGGGCAGCCCAGGAAAATCTATAGCTCCCTTCTGGGAAGAGAAGCCAAAAGGGAGAACGTCAGTCAAGAGGACTTGTATTTAGAAGGTCTTTGGGGTAGTAGAAAGTTACTATGAAACTGCTGCACATGAAAGTGCAGGTGGGCTGGACAGACTTACATGAAGAGTGTCTGCCTGATGCATGGTCCTTCCCCTCAGTAAGCATATCGTAAGGATTTTGCAAGAGTTATGTTCACATGTAAGGCAATTTTGAAGCCTGAGAAAATTTTTACAATAATTGAAACTTGCCAAATGACCACAAATCAGTTGTAAAATATGTGCTTTATTCTTAAAAATAAACATGTATAAATACAAATCTTTAAAAACATCTTTAAAAACAGCTTCTAAAAGAGAAATGAGGGAGAACACACTTGCAGCCTCCAAAAGGTCAGATTAGATTTTACAAGGCATAGACCTAAGTTTGTAATGAGGTAGTCCACATGCTGTTGTAAGAGGATACCGTTTTGTCTTTAACCAGTTTTGACTTAGCGTCTATCCAGCACTACTGTAGAAGAATGTATTTCCTTATTGGCTATGTATGTGTATGCTCCTTTTTACTAAATACTAAAGGCCTTGTTTACCAAATAATTTAACTGTGCACATCAGTTCTTCCCTGTTCACGTACGGATGAGCCTTTACATCCCACTGAAGTTAGGCAAGTGCTTTTGTGCTCTATGGGGTCTAAATGTATGAGTTACGGAAGACTAAAACTTCATTTGCACTGGCCTATTAATGTGTGCTGCAGGATGGACTGGGTTTGGTTCGCTAGTCAGACAGGCTTTAGGTCGAACTGCAGCTCCTGTGCAGGCTGCATGCCCTAATTTCCTTTATGTGAAAATTAGCTCATGGGGTGAGCTTGCGAACACTTCTGGCTCCATAATGGAATTAGAAAGCAGCTAGGAGCCGGGATGAGCATCCAGCCCTAGGCTGGACTAGGAAACAGTCCCAGTTACCATGCATTAAAGTAGCTTCTGTTTACTAAGCAATTTTCCGTAAGAATTCCTTCCCCCCACCCTGTAATTATTTGAAAATTAACTAGAATATATCATTTTTATGTAACATGGAAATGAGCAGAAGCTACTGTAGTTGTTTGTGGAATGCTTGCATGCTGTACGGGACAATATCCCAGCAATGGCTAGCTAAGAAAAATACAACTCTTACAGCAGCTAAGAGTTCTTCTTACAGCAGAATTGAGACCATCATTAGAGTGCAGTTGTCACAGAGCAAATGTAAAAGTGTTGCTTCCCACTTTTAGAGGGGCTTGGATTTGCACTGAGAGCAGATCCACATTTAGAAACATTACAACAGGCTTCATTCACACCAGAGCAAATGAACATCAGTTTCCTTATTTAAATGAGCCTGTCTTTAGCATAAACTAAACAAATATTTTTATTATATGAGTAAGGAACTGTGACCACTGTGATAAAGATGATTCTGTAAATAAATGAGTTTGTTGGAGTCTGTTAAAAATCAGCACTGCAGTGCTAAAGAAAGAATTTCAGTGTGTGGCTGTGGGGTAAGAGACCTTGATGATTCACCTTCTGAGAGCAGTTAAGACATCAGCTGAGAATCATTTATTAATTCTTTAAAAGAAAGCCTACTACAGTTTACCTCAATGTAATCAGATCCTAATTGCTTATTCATTCAAGCAGCCCTATTTTAATCAACTGCTCGTGTATAAAACAAGCAGGGAGTTTACCTGAGGATTTCAAAATAAGTCTTCATATTGCTGCTAATAGAGGAATACTTACAAATAATTTGGCATTTTTTTTTGCCATGAGTCAGCTAAGTAGTCACCAAAAGTTTTCTTTCATAACTTAATTGTTTCAAATACAATTATTAAAAAAAAAAGCATTGTTTAGCAGGCCGTAGCCTTAGCTTTAAGCAAAAGCTTAAAATTTAATATGCGTTGTTACATTTATTTCTGATTGAATAGTAGAGACCGTTCTAGAAAGAAATCTGACTTTTTGATCAGCTAAGTACTGATTCACAGCTAATTACTGAGTAACAAAAACCCCCAAATGACGCCAACCTTCCCACTTTCCCCTGCTACCTGCCTGGCTTTGCACTCCCCTACTTGAACTAAGGCCTCTAGCAGAAAGAAAAAAGGATTCTGTGTGCCCAGTGAAATTCCCACCTGCAGACCGAGCGGATCAGTTACATCAGTAAATGGGAAGGATTGAGCAAGAGTTCTACTGAGGAGCAGGTGGTGTTGCAACTTCTTAAAAAATGCTCCTAAAATGTTTTAGGAAGGTGTACACATTGATTTTTCCACAAAATACTTTTCCAAAGTATTCTGGTTTTTTGAATGCTGTTAGTTCCTATGTAGAACTATTGCTCCGCTCTTTCCAATGGAATTACCACCAATGGGAAAAAATGCCCTTGACAGGAAAAGGCAGAGACAAATTCTGTGTTGCCAAAGATTTCTGAATAGCCAATGCCAGGGATGAAGTCAGCCTGCTACTGCTTTAATTATCTGTTGAATGCTCACTGATTTGGGAATCTCTGGGGACTCAATTCAAAACTGATGGAAATCACTTTGACAAGTTCGGATCGTGAGCATAGATCATGAGTACCCATTCTGGTAATATCTTTGCACTCCTAGTACGAAGGTAAGCAGTGTTTTGTCTGAGAAGCACCACGTGCACGTGATGCATTATATAGTTAATAGTAATGTTAAAGAGGAGCCCATCCAGCTCTCGGAGGGCTGACACAGCCAGTGCTCAGTCACCTGCCAGAGGGATGGACAGTAGTAGGACCCCACATAAGGACAGTAGGCAGCAGAGTACAAATGCACTTAACCAGTTGACATGTCCGGGTACACCAAAAAGATGAATAAGTAATCACTCATGAATTATAACTGGCTGACGCCCTTAGCAAGTAGAAAATCAGAAGCACTTTACGTATTGATGGTTGTATTTCAATGACTTTTTTTTTCATGCCTGTATCTCAGAAATAGCATACGCCTTTAACGGTGCTAAAACAAGTCTGGGGCTTGTTGATGTTGAACCTTAGGGTACCCACAAGAGTGAAACTCAGTGTCAATGCCAAAGGATCACACAGGAGCTGTCTAGGGGCATTGCTGTGTACAGTATACAACTGTCATGTATTTACTAAAAAAAGGCCTTTTTTTTCCTGACTAGGCATAGTTAGTTCTTTTGAGCAGAAAGTGTTTCATTTTCAGCAGATGTGTCTCATTCTGTTCCTTCTTTCCTGGGAGGATGCAGAGAAGTGTGACTTAACTATGGGGGAGTGAAGAATGATATGATGAATAAATAGCCATCCACCAGATTCATATATTTTCCTGGCTATTGCAGTGATGCATAACTAATGACACAGAGAAAAGCAAGTTTTCTGTAAACTTTTATTGCGTAATCCACAGAACTCTCATGTTCTGGATTGGAGCCTCCCAGGCAAACCCTCCAGAAAGGGCCTGAAGGTGAAAGCAGGGGGCTGTTCCCACTGAAAGACAAGGATTCGCAAGAAGCCATAGCAATCTGCATGGCACCCCTGGGCCCGCTCCCCCAGTTTTTGTAGGCTGCCCACCCAGCCTCAGCTCTGGGCCCCCGCCAGCCCCACTGAACGAGGTACGTTCTCCCTCTGACTTGTGCAGTCTGTGAGCTGCATGAAGTCTGCCCCATCCTCCCCTTCAGTGGGACCTGGGGAGCAGCGACGCGAAACCAGAGGGTGAGGAGTAACAGCAGAGCAGGGACGCTCTCCCTCAAGTCAGCAGCAGGACCTCACTTGGGGCACACTCTCACTTCAGGTGCTGAACTCAGATGCTTTGAGTGGGGTGGGTGGGAAAGATGTCACCAGGTTTTGTTATTGTTTGCAAGATGGACTCAGGAAGAGTCACCATTTTATATAAGGGTGTTTTAAACAGCTGATTTTACATCTTTTTTGCATTACTTGCTGCTATTTCTGTGAATTCCTGCAGACAAGCAGCCGTCAGCATCAGCCACTGCTGTTCTAATTTACTGGCCATAAAGAGACTGTAAACTGGAACCAATGCATGTTCTTACCATGTATTATGCATGATAGCATGTTGTATATTTTATTCTCACACTGTAATAAATAATGTAAGTTGTATGTAGACTTAGTTTAAGCAGGGGAAGTACTGACCCTTCTTTCTCTCTCATATCATGTATTGTCAAGAGTGCTTTGCTGAACCTCTACGAGTGCCGTTAGCAGTCAGCAGGATATAAACTCCTGAAACGAATCAGGAAATATTTACTAAACTTAACATTTTTCACTTGAATACTAGAAATAGTTTGGGTTAAACTTGCATTTGTGAACCTACTCCAGGGCTCCCAGTTACATTTCTGTGTTCTGTTCTAAGGGAAACTCGGATTGGGGTGTAAACTTGGGAATGACTTTCTTTAAATAGATAGTATCAAGATATTGGCAGGGCAGCACTCACAAATTTTTAACATCTTTGGGAGTTTCTTCTTTTTAAATGGAATTCCACATGTACCGGAGTAGCTAAGATGCCTGTAATTTTTTTCATATTGTTGCTGCTGGAAATAGTATTTCTGAGGATGGCTGGAGAAAAAATTGTGTGCGCTCTTTTGGCTGTTCCTCTAACCCCTCCTCACACACAGGCACACACACTTATTTGCAGATGAGAAAAGTGTCTACAGGGAAAGTAGACGCTCTTTTTACAGATCGTGGCAAGCTGGAACAAAGAATGTTAATCTTTTTTTTACATGGTTAAATAGAGAAGTTGTGTAGTACATGTTGATTCATGTATGTTCTGTATATTTTCAAAGCCTGTGTCTACGTTAGTGACAAATGAGCACAACTGGATCAGATCTGTAGCCTGAAACTGTTGGTGCTGTGAACTCAGCATACACCCCATGGGTTTGGTCCCATGGGTTAAATGCCATTACCTAGCAATTGGAGCATGTCTTTTAGTTTTATCCAAAAGAAATCCAGTTCACATGCTCAAGGCCACCCCATGATGCAAACCAAACCTTGGTAAGTGGAGGTGTTTGGGAGAGTCACTCAAAAAGCTCACTTCTTAGCTAAACTCTTATCTAAATGCTCCAAAAGTACGCCACTGTAATATGCTACCCCATGGGAAAGTGTAATTCCCATTAGCCCACCTTTGGCTAGATGGAAGTCCGTTGTTTGTTTCCTCAGTAGGCTTTGTCTGGGTTCCTTCTTTTCATAAGCATTTTCTTCCACATCTGAGATCTGATCCCCCTTGTCAGATCATAAGAATAGAGGGCTCGTGACTCCTCCTAAAGTTAGCATCCAAATGTGCTCCGTAAGTCGGGAATATGGTATAGGGCAGTGTCATCCAGCAAGGATACAGTATGGAAAGTGCCTAGTTTGAGGTAGTTAATTGTGATTGTGCTTATGGATGTGGTTTTATCATGAACATGGTAGATACTTGCTAATGCATCCATTGTTTTCATATACTGCATGACACACAATAATTCCCTCCATCATTTTTCCAGAATATGTTTGTTCTTGTGGCCTTCCAATTGTATATATGTATGTGTGTGCATTTGTGCACGTATATACAGTATACAAGCACTGTTCTGTTTTTCTAGAGTTGCTAGAATATGCTGCTCCTAATATGAGCTGATTTAGAAAGTAGTGTTGACTAGTGTATTCATACTAGATATCACTGTAGTTAGAAAACTTTCATCCTATAGATTTAGAAAGCTTTCATACTATTTATACTTATTTTAGATGTTTTGCCATGTATTTTCCTGCTGTAAACTGCTTAGTTTTTGCCCTGTATGGAGAATGTGCTTCTGTGTACTTGCAAAATTGTGCCTGGGATATTTTAAAATACGAATAAATATGTACAATTTTCCAATCGCTGTTGTTGGACATTTTTATCTTATAGCTGACATAATTTATGTATAATTTTGTGCTACACAACTTTTATTCTTACTTGTGTATAGAAATCAATATAATAATCCAAGACTGTTCACTGAACTCAAAGAAACCAAGATCCCTGTTCCAGAAATTATTATATCTGCTTCAGACAAACATAAACTATGCCTAAATGGTTTCTTAATTGACACCAAAAAACATTTTAAGGCACTGATCTCAAACGTTTCCAGTATCATCGAGTAAACTCATCCATAAACCCTAAACTTTCAAGCACACATATTTTCATTTCTGTGTGTAAATACACGCACACACAAACATACAAATAAAAGGAGACTGGTAGGAAAAGTGCGTTGTATCCTATCCATAAAGAGTGCACATCCTTTAGCCACTTCTCCTCAGCGCATAGCATTTTCAGAAGTAAGAGTCACTGAAACACTGAAGAGTGGACGTTCAGCACATGGTTGAGTTCTCCAAGAGCAAAGGGCTGTGGGAAAGATCACGTCTAATGAAAAGGTGTGAATTTCTACTTCCAGCTATAATCTTGACATGAGTATGAGGGGAACTTGCCTAGCTTCTATCATGCAGCAGACCCTGTGGTGCTAAGGAAGGAAAGGAACTATAACCCCATTTGTCTCCAACTGTCCTATTTTATTGCCCAGTTAAGACCATCATTAAAAAGCAACAGGCTTTAATGTACAAATTTTAACTTGGTCTGTATGTGCCGAATTAAGTGCTATAATAATAATTCCGCATGTATGGACCAACTGGGTTTGTGAAAGGACTGGACATTCCACGTGTATTTATCGGCACTGGCATACGTAACGCATCAACTGTTACCATATCACTTTGGGCCACATTCTGGTACTCAGGTTCAATCCTGAGAAGAGGATTGAAGAGCACAGCACAGAAAGATATATTTCCCTTACAAGCTGTGCCATTTTGTCAGCTACCTCAGTGAGGGGAAGGAAAAGGAATTTCTGTAGTAAGTCTAAAGCTAAATAAAAGAAAGAAATGCCATTCACATGCTCAGCTTATGAGGGTCTTTCAAATTTGATATTCTGCCAAGGGGCTTGTTAAGAATTTGTGTGTTATTTTTCAGATATACTCTCTGAATATACCATAATGTTCCTTTCAGAACTATTACAGTGTGAGCTGTGAATACATACTAATAACATGATGTGATATGGATTCATTTCATCCTTTTTCCATGCAGGGCAGTCAGTTTTGTATGTTAGTTTTGATCTACATTTATACTTAATAGTAGTGGCATAGGATGTGAATGTGAACTTATGCAATTATTTTTCACAGAACCAGGTACTGAGTTAACAAAGTTTAATTATCCCGAGTAGATCTTTTCAAAATGTTATAGCATAGCCAGTGTATCCCCCTGAAGTTTTTGTTCCTGTGGCTTTACGTTTAGAACTCATTTTATTAGCTCACCCCAGATCATCCAGTAATCCTGGTAAACCAATCTCAGTGATCTTTTTTTCTTTTTAGTAGCAACTTCTCCCTTGCTCTATGAGTCATCTGCAAACCTTTGGGTTTTCTTCCAAATCATTGATAAAAATACTAACCAGAATATGTCCAGGAAGGTAGCCCAACAGAATACCTATTATGTGATCATTCCTCACTTTAATCCACATTTCGAGATGCCAGTTAACTGGTTTTCAATTAATTTAATGTATAAGATGTCAGTTTTGTATTATCACGGTTTCTTAACTCAAATGTCACGAATACCACATCAAATGTTACGTAGAACCGAAGTATAACAATGGTATTGTATTTTCCAACCATCCTTGTAGTCACTTTGAGAAAAAAAAGCCAGCAAATTAGTTTGACAGTATCTATTTTCCATATTGCACTTAGATTGGCACACACCATATTTCTCTCCTTTAATTAGTTACTAATTGAGTCCCTTGTCAGCCATTCCATTACTTTGCTCCAGATCAATTTCAGACTGACAGGACTGTAATTATCTAGGTCATTAAGTTTATCCTTCTTAAATATTAACACAACATTAGCTTTCTTCCAGCTTTCTGGAACTTTCCCAATTGTTCCAAGACTTGCCAAAAAAACAGTAATGACAGTACGGATTCCTCAGTCAATTCTTTTAGAACTCTTGGACATAAGTTACCTGAAGTTTCTTACACAAATATTTCTGACTTCCGTAGCTTCCGTTTGATATTGTCTGCGTTTTTTGTTGCATGGTAGTTCATCATCGTCCTTACAGAGCATCACTAACTATCTGTCTTTTCCTTAAATACTAAATGGAAATACTTATTGAACACTTCTTTCTTTTTTTCATTTTTCTTAACAAATCTTCTGCTTTAATCTGAAAAAGAACTGGTACCACTGAAAGGTATTTGAAAAATATTGCCCTTAATTCTCTGGTCATAAATTTCTCCTTACAGCTTAGCTACCCTTACCAGTGGAATTATTTACGTAATTCCTTACTTCTACTCTATTTTCAGTTTCTTCTTTCTTCTTTGTTTCTTCTTTCCACTGATTTACAATTATATAGAGGCATTCATTAACCCTTTGAGCTAATTTTTTTTAACATGTATAGCTTTCTTTCCTAACTTTGCAGATATATGATAAAATATTTGTAAGTATTTTCCAATTATTGATCAATTGTTTTCTCTCCCAGCTGATTTTCCATTATAGTCATTTTCAGTTTTGTCAAATGGCTGCATCATCCCTATTACTATTTGGGCTTTATTCTTTTTATGCCCATAAAAAGTAATCAAGCTATCAACATAACCACTGATATTAAGTGCTCTGATCAAGTTTTTGTTCTCTGTGAGACAAGATCGCATATAAAATTTCCTTTTTGGATGCCTTCACTTTTTGGTTTAAGAAATGTTCATATATATGTTTAAAAGTGCTACAGAGATTTTAGTACTGGCATCATGAAACTTGCAGCATATATCAGGCAGACTGGAATCTCATGTGACAGTGCAGCTTTTTTGCTCCTACACATTAGAGAAGGTGCTGAGGCAGGCAGTCATCCTGCTCTCATCTATGATTTGGCGATTTGCTGCAGACAACAGCTACTATCTGTTAGAATATTGATCCATTGCATTTAAGATCTTTTGCTTTTGAGTTATCAGTGTCTTGAAAACAGACTATGTCTTTTTTACCCTAGAGTTCCACTCATCCTCTCCTTCTCTCTACTTGAGCTTTCTGAATTAAGTTATAATAATTGATTTTAATATTCCAGTTAGGCTTTTCTTCACATCTAGATTCAATAATACCTAAACTGAATTTGTAACTAGATAATGCTGATTCCTTTCCTTTCTTACCTAGGTTCTTTAGTATTGGTTTATAGAAAATCTATACATTTACATCCATGATTAATTTTAGTTTAGTCACCTTGACAGATAGAGACACAAGCTAGCTATAAAGCTTTCTTAAACCTAGTGCATCTGGCAGGAAAAACCTTGACAGAACCACTTAGAAAACTACTCCACAGCTCTAGTCATTTCAAAATAGTGCTGAAGGCAATTAGGTCCAGCTCAGTAAAACAAGCTGTTAAAATCTTTACCAGTCCCCATGTAAACTCTTAAAACTTCCCACCATTTTCTGCACCCTGCTGTTGTTGCTGCTTCTTCTTCCATGAGGTGGGGCAGCTGCTTCTCTTCTGCTTGCTCCCTTCCATTCAAATTTGTACCCATGAATTCCCATTTCTGGCTGGGTCCAGATGGGTTTGGCTACCTATGATCACTAACTGCTCTTATTTGAAAAGCAGGTTCTGCCTCTGGAGGATTCTGAAATTTGGGGTGGGGAATGGGAGATGGGGGAGAGCCATTCTGTTTTCAAATGAAAACATAGAATGTTGTAACCCATCTTAAAGTTCCCTTCGCCTTATTGTTGAATAGAGAAATCAGAGCTCCAGAGGCAGCCCAGTTCCTGGGCTGGGAGCTCCCGTCTCTCCTCTGAAACTACAGAGTTTGGCAACTACAGAGTCTAGGTTTTGAGGCAGTATATGAAGTGAGTGAAGGAAGTGATAGAAAATCTAGAAAATTAAAAAGTGACTTGTTGTGTCAGAAGATTCAATCCAAATCTGCACCTTCCTATGGGAGATTTAAATGACAACCAACTAGCATTCTCCAAAGCAAAAGCAAAACACTCTACCAGAAAATTTCTGATTAACTCTTCTCTTGACCGGGGAAGAGCTATCTAAATTTATAGTCTTTGACAGGTGAGATCTGTCCTCATCTTGCCACAGGAGATAATGTACTGGTTACAACACATCTGGGTAGACTTGCACAGTATTTTAATTACAAAAAAAGCACTTATCATACAAATACCTTCTGTGAATTGAGCATCAACAGTGATTGAACTACAGCTGCCTGGCTGTGGGATTTGATGACATATCCATGTAATAGGTATGCTAGAAAATTATCCTGCATTCTGTGACCAACTTTGCCTTCTAACCATTGTTACAGAGCCTACAGTTCATCGAGCACTGCTGCTCAGGCCTTGAAATAAGACTAATCAAACCCATTTGGTCCCACATTTCTTTTTTTGTCAGCACATCAAAAAAGCAGGTGCTCAGATCATTGTTCTGGTGCTCTAGAAGTTGCATTGCTTCATCATCTTAGTGACTTGATTGATGAAAGGCACTTAATGTATGGTGATGTCACAGTGCAAAGTCTGATTGCTCCCTTGTCCTACTTATTAGTTCTGCAGAACTAGGAAGAGAGCTATGCAGATGTGTCCCCCTGAAGATACTGTTGTGGAACTGAAAATCTGCCGGGATCTGACTTTGCAGGATATGTCCACATGGTACAGCATGAGCCCATGCCATGCAGAGATACTCTTGCTGGCTCTAAGCAAACAAACCATGTCTGCACACAAATTATGCTGACAGCATTTGTTACAGTTTTGCGAGGAAAAAACACACAAAAGTAATGAATAGAGCACAGCTTTGTAACTCT